TTTGTTAACCTTATAAGTTATTATAAAGACAAGACACGACGTTCAGAACTCTTCACGTGCTCTGCATAGTATTCTTCAGGTACTTTCCTTAACGACTTCCTTTGTCGCACCCTTTTATTAGGTCTATCTATAAAACTTGTGTTACCCTTATACGTTATAAAGACAAGACACGATGTTCAGAACTCTTCACGTGCCCTGCACAGTATTCTTCAGGAACTTTCCATCACGACTTCCTATGTCGCATCCTTATATTAGGTCTATCTATAAAACTTTTATTACCCTTATACGTTATAAAAACAAGACATGATGTTCAGAACTCTTCACACGTTCCGCACAGTATTCTTCAGGAACTTTCCATCACGACTTCCTATGTCACACCCTTTTTTTTGGTATATCTATAAAACTTTAGTTGACCTTATAAGTCAGAAAGACAAGACACGATGTTCAGAACTCTTCACTTGCTCTGCACAGTATTCTTCAGGAACTTTCCAGCACGACTTCCTATGTCGCACCCTTTTTTTTTGGTATATCTATAAAACTTTAGTTGACCTTATAAGTCAGAAAGACAAGACATGATGTTCAGGACTCTTCACTTGCTCTGCACAGTAGTCTTCAGGAACTTTCCATCACGACTTCCTATGTCGCACCCTATTATTAGGTCCATCTATAAAACTTTAGTTGACCTTATAAGTCATAAAGACAAGACACGACGTTCAGAACTCTTCACGTGCTCTGCAAAGTATTCTTCAGGTACTTTCCATCACGACTTCCAATGTCGCACCCTATTATTAGGTCTATCTATAAAACTTTTGTTAACCTTATGCTTTATACAGATAAGACACAACGTCCTGATCCCTTCACATGTTCTGCACAGACTTTTATCATGACTTCATATGTCGCACAAAACCCTCTATATTAAACCCCTGTTATGAGGACAGAGAAGGGAATTTTTGGGTATTTCTACCTCCCGCATGTAAGTTAGTAAGCCTGTAAAATGTATGTCCATTGCTGTTAAAAGGACAGTTGCTGTCCTCTAAACAGGTCTTGCGTATGAAATTTGTCCCCTTAACAGCAATCGACATATATATATATATACTAGCTGTTGTACCCGTGCTTTGCAACGGGAAGAGGACACAAAATATAAACATTTTAATCTTTACATCTGTTGCATATAATAGTTACACATTCCCCAACGCTTTTAGAAACAAAATTAAGCTTTTATGGCCTTAATAGAAACGTTTAAGTTATGACTTTTAAATCTGGTAAGTAGTGGATACCACCATTTCTTCTCCCTTAATAATATATATTTTTATTTATTATTGACATTTTATATTTCAATTTTAGGACTAAAAATTAATAGCAAATACAGTATATGTTTCATTGCATCTCTGATTCTACTCTACAAAAATATTAAAAAACATCTTAAACCAGTTTTTTTAATCAGTTCCATCGTCTATTGCCTTTATATTTTCACACTTACCATTAAGTAAACATAGTAACAGATATTTCATTAATTTTAGAAACAAAAGAACACTGCGTACTGCTTAGTTTTATGATATTTTCCTTGGTTTAATTTAATCAGTGGTGTGGCAAAACACAAATAATAAATGTATCAAATAAAGTTAATGTGAACTGAAAATTATGTTAAGATAAAATAAGAGTATTTTGTATTACCATTTTATAATTAAATATAGTTACACATATACAACAGATTTTAGAAAACAAAAATCAACTTACAATTTAGTTATTGATGATATTCTTTAGTTAAATTAAAGCATAGATTTAGCAAAACACAATAACTTAATTTACCTAAATATACATATAAAAAACAATGTTATGTGCAAGTTATGTGAAGTTAATCTAACACGCATTTATTTAAAGTAGCCTCCAAATTCATATAAAACATCTATACATTGTAATTTTCATGCTGTTTCCATGAAATCATATTAATAACATTATTTTATATAACTTAGACGCTTTAAAAAATCCAAAGCAGAGCCGGAGTCGAGACAGCAACGGTTATAGAATCTTTTTTTTCTATAATCATTGACATAGTTTTAGAATAAATAATCCATGATAAAAGGTTAGATTAAAATAAACCTACCTCATAGTTATGGAAAATTTAATTTCTTTGTATCAGCTGTTTGAAATTGTGAAATATGCAGTTTAGCAGTTCTTCTTGTTTACATTTAAATGTCAACGCAAATGTAAACAAACATTATTAGTGTTCTCATCGCAGCCATGGAGACCAATCAATATTTACTTTTAAAATCTTCACCTCACAACTTTTAGGTATTTACTCAGGGGAGGTATAGAAGAGGCTACGATGACAGCTGAGGGCTTCTTATTAGCTGAGGGAACGCCATTACCGTAACAAAACTTTCGATAGCCATCGGGCCTCGGTGGTCTAATGGTTAGCGTGCCGGGCTGATATACTGTAGGTCACAGGTTCGAATCCCGATGGTAGCATTAACTTTTTGTCCAAGATTTTTTTTATTATCAGCAAGTTTGGTTGGTTTGGTTTGGTTATTACAGTTTAATTTTATAATTAAGTCATTATAAAATTTTAATTGAGCAATTTCTAGTTTTATTTAATAAACAGAATTATTTTTCCGACTACTAAACTCTTGGGTACTTACGTATTAAACGGAGGCCACAACTCTTGTTATATTATTTCTTTATCAGCAAGTTTGGTTAGTTCGGTTAGGTTATGATAGTTTAATTTTATAATTAAAAAATAGTAAAATTGAATTTGAGGCATTTATAATTTTATTTTATGAGCAGAACTATTTTTGCGATTAGTGAACCTTCATTGCCAAAGTGCTCTCTACTACAGCGCTGTTCACGGAGGAATTTTGAACTAAATGCCTCATTTGTACCTCCCCTAAGTCAGACCCCAACTTTTAAAGCCAAAGGGCAAAGCTTACGGTCAGTATTGAAATGTGAATAGTCATATAATGGTCCTTGGTATGGTAACTATATTTTTGTAAAATTTTACCCCAGTTTGTTCAGTAGTTTTTGCACCTATTAGTAACACACATACAGACAGACACCATTAGATTTTTATATAATAGTATAGATATAGATATAGATAGATATAGAGATTTATATATATATATATATATACACACGTCTGTGAACGCGATAACTTGAGTAATTTTTGTCCGATTTTAATGAAATTTGGTTTAAACGTGTAAAGCGGGATAAACTTGAATGAGTTCGCAAACCAGCACGATCGGACCATGGGAACGGGGCTTTACGGGGGGTTTTATGGGGTAAAAATTGGTTTTTCTCACTTTTGACCCTCAAAACACAAAATTTCCCAATTCCTCTTAAGACCTTTTTAAAGAGCTTAAAAAAACAAATAATTTAGTATATAAAAGTATTTCTGTTCGATTATTAGTTAACCGAGAAAATTAAAAAAATTGTAAATTTAAAATTACCATTTTATTCTTACTAGTGTACATGTTGCTCGAATTCGAGCAATAACAAAGTATTACAGGAGTTATTTAAGATTGAATAACAGTCATATTTACAATGAGCTTAAAAGATCAACTCAAATATTACCGTTGTGTAACTCAGATCCTGTTTATCTTTGTTATTGATAAACCTAAAGCATTCCGGACGGTTCTCTCCTTCTCAAAATGCCTCGCTGTCCAGGCAACACAGGTCATTAGTAGAGGGCCAATTGAGAACAAAAAGTCGTTTTGGGGTAGTAGGGCGCATTTGTAACCTAATAGTGTCCAGGTTCAGGTTCAGACTGTGATGAGTTAAGCCTTTGCCACTGTTCTGTAGCTGCGTCGTTATCACGATTGCGCTTCCTGTCTATGTTTCGTTGTCGTTGCGTCAGAGACATTTGGAATAAACAACAAATAATAAACAAATTATAGCTACACAAAACAACGATAAATGCAAACATTTAAGTTACAATCATGCTAACACAATCCATCATAGCGACACAAAACAACGATAAATACACAAATTTAAGATACAACCATACTAAAACGATCCGTTTTGGGGGTTATGTTTACACAAACTCAAATAGTAAATAAATGTACTCAATGTGTTTCATTGAATTAAAAAGTAAATAACAGCAATAAAATTATACAGCTGATCAAAATGTAAACAATTATGTTCTTCATAAGGATAACATGGGAACTTTCAAAGCCACTGGGGCAGAGCCCAAGGGACTTTTTCAAAAATGTAAGGCCAGTTTGCAAATCTACGCGACAGCTCTTTCCAATGAGACGTCAATGGATAAAATCGGTTAAGAAATGGCGGAGGAGTTCAACCGACAAACTTTCGTGTAGCGTATTAATTATATAGATGGAGAATATTGTCAAATGTTGTAGTTTGCTTGTTTATGGATATTTTTTGATCAAATTTGGCAAATTTATTTATTTTGTACTAAGCTATCAATATTTTACTCAAAAACACACTTAATTAGTTTCCTTGTAGCAGCAAACCTAGGTACTCGTTAAACCTCCTAATGTTATTAAAATATATTTAACTGAAAATCAATTGACAAATGGAAATTCGCTTAGTCGGCAGGTTTGCTGCAGCTGGGGTATTTATTACATTGCAGTAAGACCATACAAAGCTATTTTTACATTTTTTACTTTTTTAAACTCTGGCCAAATCTTATAAATTTCTCCCATAAGCAGAAAAACATGTGATCTTTATTTTTTGTAAATACCCAAACATTTTCACTCTAAGTGTTTACCATAGCTACTTAGGAATTTTTACAACATTCTATGCAAATTTGAAACAAAAATACCATACAATGTAGTGAATGCTCTGGTCTAAGAATTTTGCCATTGATACATAACTATCCAGAATAAAACTCGATGTTATTGGTATTGATAGGGTTAATATATTGGACTGCACAAACAAGCTGCACAGTGGACCTCACTCTCCCTGAAGTGCAGTATTTAGCAAAACATTTGACAACGGATGAGTGTCACAGACTGGTAGCCTCTATTCACTTCAACTCCTTCTAGATGGAGCGTTGGAACAAACTGGAGGATGCTGAAAACGCACTTCCAAGTGATGTGAGCTGCCTCAAACTGTTGCTTGAGTGGAACTTGCACGAGGGAAAAGGAAAGACCCATGAAAAACTTTCACTGAGACTGCGTCAAATTGGGAGGCAAGATTTGGCTTCTTGGTTGGACTCAGCAGTGCTCGACGAACTTCAAGGAGAGATAGACAAATTGGCACAGGAGTTTTCAGAAACTCCTCAGGAACAGCTTTCTCCTGTCCAAGTGTTTGAAAATGATGATTATTTTGAGCAAACGCTCATGAAAAATGATGACATTTGGGATTTAGTTCCGACTGTAACTATCCTATTTTTCATTGCTGTTTCTATCATAATTTTAACCTGTTTTTTCGCCCAAGTGATGAAGCCTTATAGAATGAGTAAATGGGAAAAAGACAAAAAATTGAATCATGAATTCAAATATGGGTCAGAGACACTAATTTAAAATATACATATAGCCTATCTAAAAAGTAAAATTCACTATCTAATTTTTAGGCATAGCAGTCACATTAATCAATGATAAGACAGACTAAATAATGTAAAACATTTGTCTGTTTAGTTTTAAGCAAATTTCCTATATAGGGGGAATAAGCTATTACCCTTTAGGTCACATGGTAAGACCTAGACCCGGGACCGATTTACTTTTTCATTTTGAGGTCCCCAAAGACCAAAAACACCATCCGTTCAAATTCACACATATACAGGGTGTTTCACGAGAGGTGTCTCAAATTGATTACGGAAAAACGGCTTAACGTACAAGGATGAAATAAAATTATTTCCCGCTAAATCGACCCCAAGGAATAACGTAAAAATAGTTTTAACTTTTTCCCAATACAGGGTGTGCCAAAAACTGAGGGCCACTAGTTCCAATCTGAATCTCGGAATTTTCAAATGTAAACATATGTCATGATATACATAGTTTTAAAGGTATTTGATAGACAAACATTTTGGCAAAAACATAAATTAAATATCTTTTTCCGTTTCAAAATAGCGGCAGTTTTTTTTAAATCCATATTTTTTTAATACTCTATGTTTCCTATACCAATGCATTTAGCGTATGTTTCCTATTACCAATGCATTTAGCGCTTCTCCGGTTGGATTTTCTTACTCGTTATGAAATTAGCATTACTTTGATATGCTACAAGCGACAGTTATTTAAAATGATAAAAATAAAAAAATTAAAATATTTTTGAAATTTTGCGAATGCTTGTTGTTCAAAATTTATAAATAGCAACATATGTCAAGCGGCACATCATTTTATAGGTTTTATAATCCATAACAACTTTGTAATTTACACTTACTTCGTATCTCTTTTAGTTTTGCATAAATAACAAAAAACCTAATTTTCCTATATTAAATGCATTTAATATAAAACCGTATACTGTATAAGGAAACAGAGCCATTAACAAGTATAATTAAAAAGAAAAGAATTTCATTCATTGGACATTTTTTAAGGACACCGGAAATAAAACTGTATATAAGGAAATAGAGCCATTAACAAGTATGATTAAAAAGAAAAGAATTTCATTCATTGGACATCTTTTAAGGACACCGGAAAATAGAATAAGCAAAAAAATAATTGACAAGTTGTGGAATAGCAAGAGTGACTTTAGGTGGATTACAGAGATTAAGGAGGACATGAGAAGGTTGAACATATCACATATCATTAGAAGATTTGGAAAATAAGTCAGAGGCGCTTGCAGTACTCAAAGACAAAAATATCATCCTGCCAATATGAGCAAACAATCAGAGACAAGGAAGAGTGGTTTCGGAAGAAGAAAGAAAACAACGGTCGGAAAGAATGAAGAAGTATTGGACGGACAAGAAGAAGAGACAGAATTTAAAAAGAATCTAACCATTAGGTATATTGACTTAAGTAAAATGCTGGCCATAAAATAATAATAAATAAATAAATAAATGCATTTTATTTGGGTTTGACGTGGTTTAACACTTAATGAAATGGAGCCTTAGTCACAGACAATATAATACTTTAATTAGGTTTCCATTGTCTTTGCTTTAGTGTTTAACCTAAATAACATGCATTTGATATAGGAAAATTAGGTTTTTTGTTATTTAAACAAAAACTAAAAGAGATACAAGGCAAGTGTAAATTACAAATTTGTTAGGAATTTAAAAACCTATAAAATGATGTGCCACTTGACATATGTTGCTATTTAAAAGTTTTGAACAATGAGCATTTGCAAATTTCTAAAAATAATTTTTTTTTTTTAATTTTATCATTTTAAATAATCGTTGCTTAGCTTATCAAAGTAAAGCTAATTTCATAACGAGTAAGAAAATCTAACCGGAGAAGCGACAAATGCATTGGTATAGAAAACACAAAGTATTAAAAAAATTATAGATTTTTTTCAAAAAAACTGCTGCTATTTTGAAACAGAAAAAGATATTTGATTTCTGTTTTTGCCAAAATGTTTGTCTATCAAATACCTTTAAAACGATGTATAACATGACATATGTTTACATTTGAAAATTCCAAAATTCAAACTAGTGACCCTTAGTTTTTGGCACACCCTGTATTGGGAAAACGTTAAAAATATATTTACAGTACGTTATTCCTTGGGGTTGATTTAGCGGGAAATAATTTTATTTCATACTTGTACGTTAAGCCGTTTATCCGTAATCAATTTGAGACACCTCTCGTGAAACACCCTGTATGTGTGTCCTTTAGCACAATAACTCGAGCAAAAATGATCTGATTTTGATTAAATTTGGTACGAACCTACGTTTATTTGAACATGTTGTGGATGATTGACACCAACTCATTTCACAGCTATGGTCTCGCCAATGTCATAGCCTTCCCTTCCATCAAAAAAATATATGCTTTCTAATTTTCTACGTTGTTAAATACTTAAGAGCCAAGATCTACAGCTAGTTAGCACACACCTTTAAAACTTGGTCGGGTTTTAAGTATCTCTAGGAAGTTAAGTTTCAACATTATTGCAACTTGAAACAGTAAAATCATTGATTTTTTAACCGATGTTTAGGGTAATTAATTCTAAATTGTGCAGCAATGTCTCCGGATATGATCATATAAAAAAAAACAAACAAATGCATATCTACCACAAATTTTGCTCAGAATTTCATCCTTTTGGTAAAGTGACAACGATGATATGGAACATGAATCTTGGAATTTCGGGCACGTACCTATAGTGCCTACATAGTGCCCTACATACATACATAGTGCTATATAGTGCTTTAGGTGCCTATAGTTTTTCCTGTGGCATTTGACCTAAAACCTTAAATGAAACACGTTCCAGAACTGTATATTGATTGGTTTGGGGGAAAAAGTTAAAATTACAACATAATTTAAGTCATCAAAGCTAACTTTTTACATTTGGCTGCCAGCAATAGTTAGTTGTTTAACTGCAACCCGTTTCTCTAAGCCACAAGTAAAAATTTAAAATCAGTTCTAAAATTAGCAAGGCAACAGGAATTGTCTGCCATGAAGAAATACATATTTTCCTACAGTTACCTGGCAAAGTGGGCTTCTTTTCACTGATTACAGTACATCAAGTAGCTAATTGTTGCTTTTACTTACTTTTGCCACTTCAACACAAAACCGTTACTTTTTTCAGGCACATAATACGTGTATGCTTGAAAATAAGTTGGCAGCACTTAAAGATACGACTATGATCAGCTGATGCAGTTTCTCATTTCGTTTAACCTAACTTAAAATAAAAACGTGTTGTATAGTGCTTGAAAGACTAATTATTTCTATTTATAGTAACTACAGGAAAAATATAATGTGTAACACAAGCACAAATGCCTTTGCTGCACTCGAGAAACTTTCCACACTCGCCTGCAGCTTGTGCGTAAACGTTACTCTCATGTGCGGCAAAGTACAACTTTGCACACTAGTTACACAAATAACTATTCATGTATGCTGTGCAGTTGCAAATGTTAGAATAACAGCAATTAAAATAGTGCATATAACAATAATTGTTATTGTTGAAGATTATTTTGAAAGAAAATAATTAGACCTGTACAACTACCATTAACAGAATAAATAGGTTATCTGAAAATGGCCATTTGGCCCCCATATTTAAGATAATTGGGATTTTACTTTAAACGGAATTTAATTCAAAAAGAACAATCGTCTATATATAATAATCAAGGTCTAAAGAATCGGCAGAAACATAAGCCTGAAATATCTGCAACCGTTATGGAGATAATTCTGTAACCTGTTTATCAGCACCTAAAACTTGAGCAAAGTAAACCTTCGATAGTTTGACACTCGATAGTTCGACACGGGCTGAGCTATTTTGTCAAGTGATATTTAATGGTTACTATTGTGATATAAGCTGACTTGAACATTAATTAGTCATTTATTGTTGACTTGACACTTAACTAATGATCAGTGAAATTGTTAAGCTTTTTAGTATTTAATAAATTTGGGTGATTTCTATATAAGACTTGTGTTTTTACTTTCCTGTATATTAAAGCCCACTTACTCCCTATAGTTCGATAGCTCGACACCCCTTGAGTCCACGAAGTGTCGAACTATCGAGGTTCTACTGTACTGTAGACTCCCTCTTATTCGGACACCTTTTAACCGGACTACACTCGGCGGAAATGACATCTCTTTAACCGGACAATTTTGATCAGCACATTGGTTTAACCGGACTAGATCTTAACAGTACTGAAACAACTGTTCTCGTGGGAAAGATTTGAGATCCGTGATCACATGTCTAAATACAATGCTCTCCTAAATTTGTCGAATATCACAGTAAACAGTCCGTTTTAACGAGTTTTTGGGGATGTTGGTTAAACCGGAAAACCCGTTATCCGGACTAGACTAAGTCCCGAATAAGAGGGAGTCTACTGATATATATGCTGTCAGTCCAGTAAGGGCTAATACTTCTGCTCCACTGACACGCCGGCCCCATCTGCAATTCTAGGATTATTAATTCAAGGTTTTTTTTCAGTTTTTGTTAATAATTTAAACTTGTTTATATACAACAATCATTAAATTTGATTTCATATTAAAATAGGCATCAAGACATATTAGGTAACTAGAGGAGCTTTAATGTTTTATAACATTTAATAATTGATAATAAACAATAAAGTGATAGGGTAGAATAAAAAAAATATTTATAAACATGTGTTTATTATGGAACTTTGCAGCAAAATACAAGTAAGAAAACATTTTGGATGAATTAACTTAGAAGTAGCAGCATGATGAAAACATCCTGTGTTAATAACTATGTGGTAAAGAGTATATTAATGTCTGGAAAAAATTACAGGAACTTTCAAATATATTTATCACAGGGTTGTGAAAAAGTTCAAACATAATGTTCTCAACAAAATTTGATTCTAACAAAAAACTGCAACTAAAAGTACAATACCATCATCTATTACTTAAGGATATCTAAAAGTGAACAAAAATGTATTGCTAGATTAATTCTAAGACTTTGTATTAACATAAAAAATTAAACATGTAATAAAAAACAAATAACTTTAACATATTTACAGATTTATAATACAAGATGTTATGAAAATTGGGATAATTTAATCTCCCATTTCAATGGAAATTGGTAGTCTGGATATTAGGGAAATCCAGCGGTAATCTGAATTTTACATCTTGTCAAACAGCACCGGTTGGATTCTTTTAATTTACCATATCAAATCTTACAACTAAGTTAATTACCATGGTAATATTTTTAACAGAAACAAAGACTAAAAATTTAGATATAAAAATAGTTCTTGAAACAGTATCACAATTTGGACACCAGATGAGGTAATTATAAAATATAAACTGACTGAATTCATGGTGTCTCAATCTCATCACTTTTACAACAAACTACTTATCAGATGAGCCTTCAGGTATGGCACTGGAAATACATCCAGGTACAATATGATCATCAACATTGTAACGCCGTGGAGTCGTTGGAGACCCGGAAGTATCAGTCTTGGCACTGTCATGTTTACTTTTTGATTCAGCCTCATTCACGGAATCAGAAGTTTCGGGATTCTTCATCGATTTGTCCTCATCTTCTTGGACGTTACTAACACCATTTGAAGAACTCGTATCTAATGTTACATGCTTGCTTTCTTTAATCACCTCACTTACAAACTGGTCTACTCCTTGGATGTTGTTGTTGTCAATATTTTTTATTAGACTTTCAGCACTGGCTACTTCTTTCTCTGTTTCAAAATTATCTACATGCTGCATGTCTTCTTGTAGTTTCATGTTTTCTATTTTCGCATCGACACTTTCCATAATCATATCTTGCATTTCAGCTGCATGTTTGCTTTCTTCAACTACCTCACTAACAGAATGGTCTTCCAGGATTTTGTTTTCATCATTTTTGACCGGACTACTTTCAGCACTGTCTACTTCTTGTTCTGTTACTACAGAGGATTCATCCAGATTTGAACTGAGTGCATTTTTAAGCGAATCCTCCACAATCTGCTGCATGTCTTCTTGTAGTTGCATGTTTTCTATTTTCGCATCAACACTTTCCATGATCATGTCTTGAATTTCAGCTTCATGTTTGCTTCCTTCTACTACCTCACTAACAAACTGATCTTCCAGGATTTTGTTGTTTTCATCATTTTTGACCGGACTACTTTCAGCACTGTCTACTTCTTGTTCTGTTTCTATAGAGGATTCACCCAAATTTGAACTGAGTGCATTTGCAAGTGAATCCTCCACAATCTGCTTCATGTCTTCTTCCAGTTTGATGTTTTCTATTTTATTATCAACACTTTCCATAATCATGTCTTGCATTTTGGCTTCTTTTTGTAGATCCTGGTTGTTTTCTTCTGCATTTCTTCCAGTTACGTTTGAGTCATCCACTTGCGACATACTACTAGCAACGATCAACTGTTCAGCAACCGACTCGCCATTTGTATACAGAGATACTAAATTGGGTTCACCATCAGAGATTATTTTTAATTCAAATGAGACTCCGTCTTCATTTGCAAGTTTGTTGAACATGTCACTTGTTACTACGTCCCATTCACCATCTCCCGGTTTGACTAAAGCGCAGTTCATTGCTAGAGCAGGTATCTTCAATAGATCATCAGGAAGCTCTTTTAATTTAGCTACTTTTACACTGTTACCGTAGTCAATAAAAGTGACTTTTATTTCATTTTCTGAATGATCAATTATTTTTGCTCGATACCACAAGTCGTCTTCATCAAATTGAGCGGCTACAATTTTACCCTTAGAAATGGAGTCATTTCCGAGGAGTGGAAACTCTTCAGCAGCAACAAGTCGTTCATCTATAACTGTCAAAAGTTGAGTAGCTTCTGCTGTGTGGAGGAAAAAATCATTAGGCGAATTCACATGTATCAAGAATACAGTCTTTATTATGCTTTCATCTGCAATAGTTTCTGCTGGTTCTGATGATGAAAGCTTGGAAGTAGGCTCTTCAGATGTCTCTTCTGAGTTTAGCAGCGTATCATTGATAAAGGTTGATAGTTTTTGTTCAACAATCATGTTCTCACTAGCCAGACTAACTAACATTGGGTCTGAATCTTTTAAAACTTTCATAGAGAAGGGAACTGTACCTTCTCCACCAAGTTCAACAAAGCAGTTGTTGGCTTCTTCAGACCAATGTTTTCCCCCAAAGGTACAATGAAGAGCTACTGGTTCTTTTTCTAAAAATTTTTCTGGGAGCTTCACAAATTGACTAGTAATTGCAGAGTTACCATAATCCACAAACAACACTTTGGTTCCTTCTTCGCTTATGTTCAATAGTTTGGCTCTATACCACGACTCATCATCTACAAACAAAGCTCCAAAAATCTGGTTTTTCATATCATCTGTGATGTTCTCTAAGGTCTCAAATGAGCTCACATCAGTGAGTTCATCTCTGAGAGTATCCAGTTCAGTTTCGGCACCGTCTACTTGAATGTAGAAATCATTAGGACCATTAATATGACTAATATACACAACTTTGTCATACCCAGTCAGGTCTGGAGAGGCACTTTCAGTCTTAGCGGTCACGGGAGCATTTGAATCACAGAAAGGTTTTAACTCTTCATTTACACATTTGTCATTGCTGTGTAAGACAACAATTGCTGGATCCCCTTCAGTTATTAGTTTTAAATCAAACTGAGTACAGCCTTCTGCAGATATTTCCATAAATTTTTCAAGTGCCGATTCTGTCCACTCTTCTACACCTTCAGGCAGTTGCAAGGCACAATGTTTAGCTAAAGCTGTTTTCTCCGCTAGTTCAGGAGGTAGGGTTCGGAATTCAGTTGAAATAGAAGAGTTTCCGTAATCTATAAAAAGTACTTCAATTCCATTTTCAGACTTTTTAGTCACCTTTGCTCGATACCACGAACCATCATCAGTAAAAAGAGCTGCTACTAAATCATTTTCATTCACTTCTGACACTGTCTCAAAAGTTTCTGCTGCCGTCAAAGCATTAACAATCATCTCCAGGCTTTCTTCACAGCCAACTTCTTGAACAAAGAAATCATTTAAACTGTTGATATTACTCACAAATCCTGAGAAAACCTTTGCCTTTTTAGTAGCAAGCTTCTCTTCGACCAGGATGTCTACAATACTTTTGCCACCTTTTTTGATGTCTGCGACAATTGAATTTTCTTTCACCGATAGAATGTGAGCAATTACTTCTTCTTCGCTACTGATTTCTGACGATATCAGCAATTCTTCAAGTTTCTCATTGGCACCTTCCTTGAACTCTTCAATAGGCAGTTCCAATTTGACAGCATAACCCTCGGCAGGTTCTAAAAAGTCTGGAGATAGGGCTTTAATATCTGACATGTCAACTACATCAGAGTTTCCATAATCAACAAATCTGGCTGACGTATCATCTAACTTGAGAGCTCTATACCATTGTCCATCTGAAAATTTGGCAGCAAACATTCCAGTGGCTTCTCTGAGAGGGAGAAGTTTTGGAGCGGCATCCTGCAATCTGTCTTGTAGAGCTTCGATGAGCTCAATATCATCACCGACATGAATCCATAGCTGCAAAGGGGAGTCAATAAAAGAGACTGATATTGGAATATCAGAGCCCTCAGCGAATCTGCCTCCTTCTACGACCCTTTTGAATGGTGAGTTATCTAGAGCCACAACAAATCCCAACTCTACTAACTTTTCAGTCAAACTCTGTCCTGAACTGTCCACCAACTCAACAATCCATCCGGTTTTGTTCCTCAGAATGACAGCGTTGTACTCAGTTTCTCCTGCTAGTTCCATCAGGGTTTCCACTGGGACGGACCAAGTCACATGAAGAGACACGGGCAAAGCGAGAGCATGTGGTGTGTAGAAAGATGCGTCGAGCTGTCGCAGATGGGAGGAAGGAATAACTTCAGTGTTTCCATAGTCAACATATTGAACTTTAGTTTCTTCTCCAGTTTCCAATATTTTAGCTCTGTACCATTGTTCATCGGCAACTGATTTAGCACAGCAGAGGTTACCATTATTCCATTCTTGTTCGACAGGTTCAGAGTCATTGTAAAATTCATAAAGCTTCTGGAGTAAATCTGCTAGAAGATCAGCATATGCGATTTTGTGCAAAAAGATGCCGTCTTCACTGGCGTGTGCGATCCAGACCTTCTGATGCATGTTGAGGATGGGCATGGGACAGACCTTCTCTACTGACTGCACCTCATTCTCTTGAAGGTCAAGTAGCTGCCCTTCGCCGTCAAACAGTGTCACTTGCAATCTGAAAATGTACAGGTTATTGTGTTACCGTTACTAGACATTACTCATAAAAAAACACACAATTAAAATATTTTTGACTTTACTATTACTTTAACAGTTCTATTTAAAGAAACAGTTAGCTATTGGTGAACAATTATTTCAACCTTGCTAGACAATAATTATCAAACAGCTACAACAGCTATTATTAAATGTCTCTTTTAGCAAATTTCGCATATTGGGAATAAGCTATTACCGTAAGTCTCATGGTAAGACCTTGATCCGGGACCAATTAATTTTTTTGTTTTGAGGCCCCCAGAGGCCAAATACTCCCTCCATTTAAATTCATGTATATATGTCCGTTAGCGCAATAACTCAAGAAATGATCTGATTTTGATGACATTTGGTTCAAACTCATAAACTGTGTCTATTCAAACGAGTTTGTTTATGGGAACAGGAGTTTATGGGGAGTTTTAACAAAATGCCCTAAAAAACACAATTTCAAATTTTTTTCATAAATCATTTTGTAGAGATTTTAAAAAAGAAATTAAAATATTGAATGGTTATAGTGTGCCTAACAGTGACTGAGAAAATAAAAAATAAAAATTCCCATGTTATTCTTATGTAGAATAAATAAACTGTTGAAGTTTGCTTCTTTTTTGTAATACAATTTGGCAACTTTATTTCATACTCCCTATCAACATTTCAATTAAAAAACACACCTCATTACCTTTCCTGAAGCAGAAAACTTAAGCTCAGTAACCCAGTACTGTTATTTAAATAGTAAATAAATCTGTCAATTTTGAGGGAATATTATAGGGGAAGGGGAAATATAAATAGCCAGGTAAATGGAAATTCGCTTTGTCTGCAGGTTTGCTACGGCGGGGGGTATTTTATTTTTGTTGCATATTCATTATTAATATATTTTATCAAAGATTTAGAGAAACAACCCCTTTTGCAGGTTTTAAATTGGGTTCCTATTGACAGCAATATCATAAATAAATTGGTTTAATAATTATTATTTATTTAAATGAACGGAACTATCAATTTTTGTAGGCATGGCTGTTATTAATCTTTAAAACATTACAATACTAAATTTAACTACTGTACCATGAACCCAGAGCTCTCTAATTTAAAATTATTTAAAACGAGCACAAAAATAGAGTAAGCAGCAGGTGGATATGCAGGGTGTCTTGCAACCTTATGAACAATCTTTGTCACTTTATTTTCATGTCAAAAGAAACAAAAAATGTAATATAACAACAACATATGTCCTATCTTATTCTGTTTTCGGTCTATCTGTCTGTATGTGAATTTACAAAAACTCAACTGTTTGAGCTACAGCGTTGAAGTTCTGTAAAAATGATTATCTTATTGACCACTATTTTTGTATAAAATATGAATAAATCTCTTGAATTGTTTAAAATGGTGGATTTTTATATATTGGATGCCAAATTCTATGAAAACCACTAATTTTACAACATATTTGCTTCACATGTAAATTTAGTAAATATTAGGCAGATTACAACGATATCTTATAAGCTTAGTTTAGACAAAGAATAACTGATAGATTAATTATTTTCTTGTTATAACTTCAGTTTTCTCCATTTCAACAATGTTAAATTGATAATACTAAATTTTAACATAGTTAACAGAAGTTTTTAGTGTTGATGCAACTGGAATTCATTTAATTTTTTAATTGAAACGGTTGTCCATATTGATAAAGAAACAAGAAGTCAATAGTGTCAATAGTCAATAGCCAAACAGTTTAAAATATAAAAGTGTTGAATTAAAATATTTTTCTGATTTAAATTCTACTCAGTAAACTTGTTCTACTATTAACAAGCAAAAATGAGCAAGTGATTGTAGATAGGCAAAAGTTGTTTGATTTTCATACAGCTATGTTCAGTTCTTTAGTTTGACCCACCCTTCACTCTGTACTGCGTCGACCAGCATGATGACGTATGTGTCAGCAGGTAGCTGAGTGAAGGCTTGCCGTTGTTCGTCAGTTGCTGTTTCTTTGACATTGCTCAATACACACTTGACACCTTGACCTGGCTGGAACTCTAGGCTCTGCAACTGCAACAAACAATACATTCCACTCAACCATCAGATCCAACTATTTCCTACACTACTTTGGACTTTTCATAATTTGTCACTCATAGAACCAAGAAGGTGTCGGATTACTGAAAAAGTTACCAAAAATAGCCACTAGTGAATCAATCAAATCTAATTGTTCTCTTCTACATACCATTGGACATTAAAATAAACCAGTTGGCATCTTTAAGAAACAAAAAACAATGCATTTACATTTAACTTTCAATATACAAAGTATTGCACACATCATGATATCTCTGATGATTTCATCACATCATTGAACTGGAGTGATCTAGACTATTAAGTGTCAGATTATCGATAATCAAATGCATACAATTTAGGCCAATAAGCCACTTTCATAACTTTATCTTACAGATCTGTTACTAGAGTAGAATATTTTGTTCCTCCATAAACCTATTTAAAATTACTCCCCTTATTTGAATTATTGTCTGTTTCAGAAAGGTCATTGGGCAATACGAAAAGTGTTACAATATTTGTCTTGGCACTTCCTGAACTTATAAAAAACCCCATCTCTCAAGTCTCAATGTTAACTATAGTCTGCACAAAACCTGCTGGTACCTATATAATTGTACAAGTTGAATTTACTTGAGTATTGAGCAAAGTGTTAATTTCACATAACTTCTACATCAAGACAGCAGAATATATCAGCATTGACTAAAAACAAATTTAGTAAATATTAAATACATGCATCTAAACTATTTTGCATAATTATATTCTTAACTAACGAAATAAGTGCTTCCTTAATTTGAATAATGATTGATAGCTTACCTCTCCATCCTCAGAGGCTGGTTGGACGTAGACAGTGTAATCCTCCTGTACCTTCAGCAAAGTGACAGGCAATGCCTGGCCTACAATCAGGTTGGTGTCCAATTCACTGGCCACTCCCACAGCTAAAACAAAATATAAAGTAGGCCTATTAATTAAATTAACAATTTAAACATCTCTTTAAACTATTCACAAACTAGTAAATGGAACATCTAGGTACTATTATTGAAAAATAAATAAAATGTAATAGAATAAATACTTATATACTTGCTAAATTAATTACCTACAACATCATTTTTATCATCACAAAATGTATTTACACAAAATATACTAACTACTTTTGACTTTGATGTTTCCTGATCAACTTAAAATGATATTTAATAATTTTGTTAAGAACAATTACCATTTGATCCACCAACCGCTAAACCGGCTTCTATGATCTTCTGGGCAACATCTTCACCTTGCTTTACTAGTTTGACGAGGTATTGAATGTTGTTCTCTCCCTCCAATTCTTTGACCACTGTGCAATCAAAAGTATCTGCTTCGAAATACGAGTCCAATGCGGTTGAATTGGCTGAAAAATAAAAATCATCATTAATACACAACAGCACATCAGCCATAGCTCAACTGCTGTTTCTAGAATGTAATGACATTTGATCATAGTGAAGTTGGAAGGGTCTGGCAATCGGAGCAGAGGTAGCCTAATGGAGTGCTAGAGAAATGTCTGTGTTAAAGACTATTTTACAATAAGGTCTGAAAATCATACTAGTCCCGATACAGTAATAATTTCTGCACAAAATTAAAGTACACCGTGTCCCAAAAAGAATGGATCAAATCTACAGCTTAATATACGTGCTATTGAGGGTCGTAGGAAAGCCTTGACTTTTTCCGAGCAAACAACGGAGAACATGTAGAGGTTAGGCGGTGAAATTATGTTAGGAAAACTTAGAATGTTAAGAAATAAAATGTATATAAAGTTAACTTTTTATCTTTAAGGATAAAGTGTTCATGTCAGTTTACTTTTGATCCATTCTTTTTGGGACACCCGGTATAACTAGCAAATGACAATACTAATACTTAGTTGTTGTACTCAAATTCAACTAGTTTTAAATAAACCATATTATTCACAAACATCATTTGGCAATGTTAAAGCTTTTTGTGCAGTCTCAAAATTACCAATAATGGGTCATAAAGTAGGCTAATGGTTTCAAGTTAACAGAAAAAAAATAGTCTGGAACTTTTGAAACCTAACAAGTTTTCAATAAAATCCTAAATCTGTCATATCTTGGATTTAATTTAATTTAAAACTTTGGGCCCTTAGGGTGATCTCAAAAATATTGACTAGCTATTTTCCATTATTTGAATAAACAAAATTAATTATCATTAATTTCTACCTTAATACATTTACTATTTACAGACTATTTAGATGTATCGATTCTTGAAACCGATTCTCGATAGGTACCACTGATACTTAGACATTATAATAGTCCAAAATTTGATATGGTATCCGTATCGTCAAAAGTTGATTCCGATAGAGATACCCATCATGCCTGCGTGGAAGTTACCACTATTACAACTATCAGGCAAGAAGACAATGACGTTTCCGCCACCACAGTAGACAATGATGACATTTACAAGGCTGCGGGAGATACTCATGATTTAGCTGCGATTGCGGACTACAACAATGATCTTCCCGTGACCGCGGGAGAAGATGATGATGTTTACACTGCCTCGGAAGATATTCATGATTTTGCCAGATTCGTTTCTGTGACCGCTGGAGACGATGATGGCGTCTTCAAGGCTGCGGGAGATGTTCATGATTTTGCCGCGTTAGCGAAAATGAGGATGTTGGGATCATCAATTGCTCAATTGATCAATTAATCATATCATATTGATCAATAAACCCCACAAAAACTACAACTCTGAATTTCAGTGAGAAAAAAGACATAGTCCCTCACTTAGAGGATGTAACAGTAGAAAACCATACAAAACTTCTCGGTGTTATCCTTGATAACAAACTAACATGGAAAGAGCACATCAACCACCTAAGCAAAAAAATCAGTGCCGGAATATATGTCGTCAGAAGAATAAACTACATAGGCGGACCCTAGAAGGGCGGGATTAGACACAAATCGGTGTTCTGCGCATCCAGTTGGATTGGGCTGAGAACTACTGAAACGCTTTTGGCCTCTAAAACGGAAATTTTCCGTTTTCATGGTGTTGGCAGTTCCAGGGTTGAGCAACCGACGGGCAAGCTCGGTAACGAAGCAAGGCTTCTACACTTCTTCACAGATCTTAACACCGTTCGGACCTACGTCAGTTCCGTTACCAATTTTTATGTAATTACCATCTACCGGAAGCTTAATACCTACATTTTAGTCCACGAATTAGTTATCGGACAATGTTCGTGACGGTGTATCCCTCTTTCTAAAATTACTTAAGTTTACACTCGAGGAGAAGTTCGGTTAGGCCTAGGAGGGCGATGCCATGACACCCACATCGGCATCGGACATGGGGACGCTACGGTCATCAACAACCTAGACTCAGAGGGTGATCATCTACACTACAGGCGGTGAAACATCTTATCTCACCTCTAACCCTAAGCTAAGTGTTTTATTAAACTTAGTGGTTATGCCTACTTAAATATTCTACGGCCTAAAGTAAATTTAGTTTTTTCAATGTAAATTAACTTCACTTTCAACCAACAATTTTATAAGGACAGATTTTCTTTTGTGTAACTTATTCTGAAATGTAAAATTTAAAAAACATCTGGTTTAGTCTAAATTAATAAAATAATCTTTTATGTTCTGAGAATTTTGTATTTTATTAAAATGAAATAAGCCCCACCAAACCACACAATTAACCCTGAGATAAGAGAAAGGCTCTACTAGCTTAAGTTAAAGTAAAATTAATAAATTAAAATATGTAACTGGTGTGATTGACTGTGTGAAGGCCTAACACTAGTCATCAATTAATTCAAAGAAATAAAGAGCACCGTTACAGAGCCCTCGCCAACCTTGTCCCACCACAGACTTGCAGACTAGCATTCGCAAACCTAGGAATCCTCACAGTGGTGTCCCTCAACATACTTGAAACCATAAAGTATGTGGATGAAATAACACCCCAAGAAACCAAGACCTGCACCACTACAACACCCGTCATGGCTCCAAATTTGCCCTACCAGTCCACCGAACAACTCTTTGGGGAAAAAAAACCTTCCTTCACCGGCTGCAAACTGAGGAACCATCTAACTGACTATCTGAGAGACCTGACTGGCAACAAGCTACACCAGCAGTTGAAGAAGTGGCTAATCGCAAGATCCTTCTACGCAATAAAGGAATTTTACGAAAATTATTAAAATTAACACATACAATTCACTATTGTATTGACACTATTGTAATTCTTAACGAATGAACAATAAAGAATATTGTATTGTATTATCATCAATTGCTGGATGAAAATAATTGAAAATAATTGCTGGATGATGTTTCTGAATTGACGATGATGTTTCGGATTTTGCAGTTATCCCAGAACTGACTGCACGAAGATATCTCCACGACCGCTGGAGATGATCACGACATTACCTAGAGTTTGGCTTGACTGAAAATATCTACAGCCAAAACAAAAAAAGTAACACAATCCGTATGTTACTCAATCCATAGGTTGACATTTTGGTCTTTGTCTGAGAGGTATATATCATACACCTCTATAACCTTTCATTTTTATTTTTGTTGTTAGATCTTCATTTTTTACCTTTAACATGACAGTTATTAAATGTGTTTAGGAGGGTTTAAAAATAAATTGGCTGGTAAGAATGTTTCATTGGTGCACACATTTTTTTAAATTAAAAAACACCCTTCATCACCTCAAAAATACTTAATGGAAGCACATAAAGACAGGGGTTAGTGAAGTATATCCAATCCATTCAGAAGATTTGGTAAAACTATAAAAAAATAATATTGGCATCGAGAATAGATTTTTCAGGTATCATCGAAAATCTATAAATTTTGATATCGACACATCACTACCACAGTCAGATTAATTACAGTAGAACCTTGATAACAAGACTCTCACTCATTTTTACTCATCAATACAGGTAATCTAACTCGCCTACATCATAAAATGTGAACAGAAACTTTGTAATGTAAAACAAATGTTATAAATATATTTTATTTCCCTTATAATTAGCTGGACTAATATTAATCCAGACGGTTTTAGAAACGTGTTGTAAAAGATTGACTGTGTAGGGTACTGTATGAGGTATTATACTGTATCTAACTTTTTTAGATCAATATGAGTATGACTCAAATATGAATAACTCAAATTCATTTTTCATAATAAAACATTAAAATGAAAACATGATGATCCTGATAACTTAATATATCAAGCTAAGTTAAGATAAGATAATACCAAGCTTTGTTAAGCGATTTTTATTGGGAAAGTTATCTAGAGTACAACTTACGTGCAGGCCAAGCCTCTCCCGTAGGCTGTACGCCAGCTAGACAGCAGCTGACAGCTTGTATTGGCAGATACGCAAACTCTGTCTCCATCGCCCATACACTACCACTGTCCACCACTTCTACATTGCCATAATCCACGTACTGTACTTTGGGGACTGCAACAGGTAAACCATGACAGAATTAATTAATCCCAGAAACACTTGTAAATATGTTTTTGTACTTCAGTTGGATTAGATTAATACAATACCAACACATCAGGTTGAATATTATTTAGGTGAAGATGAGAGAGTAAGGATGAGTGTTGAATGGATTTGATAGCTTTGTTCTTAAGTTAGTTCTTTTAGGCAGAATAGTGCAGTAAAACCTCATTAACTCGTCAAGTTGTGAACCTAGAAGTTGAGGAGTTTTGGGGTTGTCAATTTATCCAGAACATTGAATATTTAATGGGTTTTAATAAATGAATGTAGAACAGACTAATTTTACAAATAAATGTATTACTTGTATTAGTGTTTTTACATATTAAATAAACAATCTTCAATGAAATGTTGAATATTCAACAATTAACACTAAATGTTTATTTTGCGTGCACCCTGTCAGCTGTTGACTGTCGAGTTAGCGGGTGTCCAGTTAGTGAGGTTTTACTCACTATCAGTCCAGTGGTCAAAAACAGCTGAGTTTAGTTTTGAACCATAAAAAAGCAACAGACTTTTAAAACACAGGATCGGTGTTTGTAGATACAGTAGACCAGTACAGTAGTCAATAATCCGGATTAATTGGAACCAAACCCCAACTGGATTGAAAATATTATATAGATAATCTAAATTACCTTAAAAAAGGCCCGCACACACAATGCAATACGACTTTTGAAAATGATATATTTTCTATTGTAGGTACAGTATAGGGTACATAGGTACATATAACCATTATAGGTACATTTTATAGGAACATGTGTACAGTGTACGGTAAAATGTGTTTTAGGCTTTCAAACTACGGTAGTGGTAAGTTTTTTGTAGCAGACGGTACAAAATTGTATTTCTTGCTAGAGACAAATCTGGATTTTTGATGTCCAAATTAACAACGTTCTACTGTAAATTACAAATACTACCAATCAAAATAATTTCACAAATGGTGTGTTCTTTGTATCAAACCCTCACCGAATCCAGATTCCTGCACGAGAGCTCGGTAGAGTACTTTGTCTGCCTTGAAGCGGGCTATGACAAAGTCGCCGACATTTAGATCCGTGTTCTGTTTGACAGTTCCGGTGCGAACTATGGCTTGCATGGCCTGCATCATGGCTCGGAACTCTGGGTTGGAGTCCATTGGCTGCAGATACAACTGTGAGGGGCTCAGGTACCAGGTCAGCTGTGAGGTGATGACTGAGCCAGCTGGGTAATTCAGAGTTGTCTGTGTCAAGGAGCCCATCTATGAATAAAATACATATCAGTTAATTAATAAGACTTAACCCTAAAAGTAGTAAATATCAGAACTAGCTAGCAAAACATAAACAAAAATTACATCACAAAAATATAGTGTTGAAATAATATGTTTCACACCCAGAGCCGGGAAATAGTTTTTGACTGAGATTTGACGTTAAAAAACTTGACTGTAAAGCCGAGTTTACACGATGCCAGTTGGCGAGACAATTGTCATAAGACAACTGACTGGCTTGAAATTACTGGCTTCGTGTAAACACTTCAGGCCAGTTGGCAAGCCAATTGGCCTGCCAATTGTCCCGAAATTCAGTTGTCTCTGGGAGTAGACTGAGGACAATGAGCTGGGCCCAGTGAGGCCGGACCCCTCGAAAATCCAGTTGTCGCGAGTCGCGACAATTGGCGCTGTGTAGACGGTGTAGGCCAGTCCAGTAGCGCTGTCTTGCCTCCTTACCTGACAGTAGTACCGGTAGTACACTAGTTCCCACGTCATTTGAAGCGTGTGTTGTGTTGTTTCTTTCCAACAAGATTAATTATACAGAGACAAAAATGCTCGACAGACGACACTCACCACAATTTCGGAAAATTTTAACGTCCAAGGATATGTTGTAGCTAAAGTAAAAGCAAAAATCAAGGCTTTTCTCGGTACGTTTAACATTGAGATATGTAAAGCCCCCCCATACACGTACCGATCGGCCTGAAGGCGGGTGTTGGCCGGCTGGCGGCCGGACGACGACCCCATTCACGTTATCGGCCGGCGTTATGTGTATGAGGGGCACTAAAAAAAGTGCCCAGTCCGGATGTGGATCAGCTGATGTATATGTGCAGACCCTCAATTTCCTAGCCAATTGTCGGCCACGTGTGAACAGGTCCGCGTTCAACTGGACTGGCCTACGAAAATTCCACAACCACGTGATGCCAATTGGCAAAGACAATTGTCTCGCCAACTGGCATCGTGTAAACCCGGCTTAACAGAAACAGCAATATATCACAAAAAAGAAGACCTGTACATCTACAATATTGAAAGTGGAATACAAAAAAGCTTTACCCCAAAGACATTTTCACTATTTCACTGACCCTTTACTCTTCGACCGACATTCTTCACTGTGTTCATTTTGGTACATTCATTTTATCGTTATCCATTGTTATTAAGAGTCATAAATAACATGAGTTGAAATTCAATTGGATTCACAAAAACCACCTAGACATATAGATTGATCAGTTAAACGGTAAACTGTTTAACTTGATACGTAATGACAAAACTAGTAATTGTCTAGCCATGAATGCCGAGAGAATAAATTTGCCTTGATAGCCTAGCATTTGGCTATTTACCTTATACCAAATCTAGCTGAGGAACAGATATTTTAAATTACACCCCCCCCCCCCCCCCCAATAAAATATGTAGGTGACATCATGGTGAAACATGTGGGTGTTTAAGCCCACAGTATAGCTGCTACAGTTTTAAATCCTTTGTGCTGAATCACAAAACTGTTACGCTTCAGCCACATATCAACTAGTAGAATCTGCTAGCAGTACTGGATATTTCTCCACTTTAAAGTAATTGAAGAGGAATTGCCTGTTGATAAGGAAACCAAATAGGTGTGAAGTCCTTTATTTTAGTTATCCTCTACTGTCCTTGTATGTATGCACCTCAAGTACTGAGACTTAAAAGGAATATATTTGAAAATTTTTTATTTGGGGAATGAAATTTAACTGCTGTTGGGCTGTTACATTCTTAAGAAGCTGTTACATGGGATTTATACTATACTCTAATACGAGCAATGTTTGCTTGTATGTATGTATGTATGCTTGCTTGCTTGCTTGCAAACAAGATCTCGAAAACGGCTCCGACGATTTTCTTCAAATGTTGTAAATAGTCTATTTCTGGCCTAAAAACGAGTTTACTGCAGTTAGAACTGCCAACAAAAATGTAATTACGTAGAAAAATGAAACTGAAAATCACATTTTTTTAACATTAGTCTTATGGGTTGCTAGGTAACCATGTTGGCTGAATTAAATAACAAGGAAAAAGTAAACAAAAGACTTGAAGTTGTAGCATGTGTTCAAATAATAAGCCAACTACCCACAGTATACTAGCAAATTACAAATACAGTACAAAAGGAAAAACATCACTTGTTAATATTTAGCAAAGATTATACTGAAGATTACTCAATACATTGTAGTCAAGGGTAGCAGTGCGAAGTCTGGAATCTGTTTATGACGAATAGATTAAGGTATCTACAATCTTAAAATGCTATGGGAAGGGAAGGAAACAGGTCCGCGTCGTAGGAAGTGGTGAAGGAAGTAGTAAAGGCAATCATAAAATAATATCGGAATAGAGGGAAACAGGTCCGTGACGTAGGAAGTGATGAAGGAAGTAGTAAAGGCAAGCAGTCCGGAGTGTGGGGACTGTTTGTGATGATAAGATTAGGGTATCTGCAATCCTAAAATGCTATAGGAAGGGAGGGAAACAGGTCCGCGACGTAGGAAGTGGTGAAGGAAGTAGTCAAGGCGAGTAGTCCGGAGTGTGGGAACTGTTTATGACGATTAGATAAGGGTATGGGCAATCCTAAAATGCTATGGGAAGGGAGGGAAACAGGTCCGTGACGTAGGAAGTGGTGAAGGAAGTAGTCAAGGCGAGCTGTCCGGAGTGTGGGAACTGTTTATGACAATTAGATAAGGGTATGGGCAATCCTAAAATGCTATGGGAAGGGAGGGAAACAGGTCCGTGACGTAGGAAGTGGTGAAGGAAGTAGTCAAGGCGAGCTGTCCGGAGTGTGGGAACTGTTTATGACAATTAGATTAAGATATTTGCAATCCTAAAATGCTATGGGAAGGGAAGGAAACAGGTCCGTGACGTAGGAAGTGGTGAAGGAAGTAGTTAAGGCGAGTAGTCCGGAGTGTGGGAACTGTTTATGACGATTAGATAAGGGTATGGGCAATCCTAAAATGCTATGGGAAGGGAGGGAAACAGGTCCGTGACGTAGGAAGTGGTGAAGGAAGTAGTCAAGGCGAGCTGTCCGGAGTGTGGGAACTGTTTATGACGATTAGATTAAGGTATCTCCAATCTTTAAATGTAATGGGAAGGGAGGGAAACAGGTTTGCGACGTAGGAAGTGGTGAAGGACGTAGTAAAGGCAAGTAGTATGGAGCGTGGGAACTGTTTATGAAGATTAGATTAAGGTGTCTGCAATTCTGAAATGCTATGGGAAGGGAGGAAAACAGGTCCACTACGTTGGAAGTGGTGGAGGAAGTAGTCAAGGTGAGCTGTCCGGAGTGTGGGATCTGTTAATAACGATTAGATTAAGGTATCTACAATCCTAAAGTGCTATGGGAATGCAGGGAAACAGGTCCATGACGTAGGAAATGGTGTAGGACGTAGTAATGGCGAACCGTGTGGAGTTTGGGAATGGATTTATGTATCTCCAATACTAAGACTGCTTTCAGAGTGAACTAATGATTTTCCCCGAGCAAAGCTCGGTCCCCAGGTACTTAGGTTTATCATCTTATCTTTCAAACGCGATCCAAACCAGTGTTCCAAACCTTTTTCCTGGTGCATCACTTCACAAGTCAAAAATATGAAGGTCCCAGATGCCACACTTCATTAGACCATCAATAATGGTGCTAACTAACAAAAGGTAACTGTTAGGTAGTAACAACACCTAGAGTTGCAGATTATAAATACCTGAGTGAAGTGTTGAGCACCAAGCACAAAAGTTTTTATTTTGCTCACATTACTCGACTGATATTATTGCAAGTTGGTCACTTACTTTGGTTTTAGTACTTGAAACTATTCAAATAATCTTATCCTCGTTCTCCATGTTGAATATACATTGTTTTTGTTTCCAATAGGCTGTGAACTGATACTCATTCACCAGACCAAACAATTTTAACATACATATATAATACTTAAATTCACTAATGGTACACAGCCACGACCAAAAAAGAACTGAGGGAGTAATTCAAATTTTTTTCTAATCAAGAATTTTAAAAATATTTTCCAAAAATATTTGTGGTTTTATAATGATTGTACCAATTGATAGCAAGAATAAATATATTACTGAAGCTACCATCCAATGATTAAAAATATAATCCAGTTTGTACATTAGTTGTGATAAGGGTGGTTTGAATTTTTTCTTTAACATTTAGAATTTAAATACGTTTTGTGAAATTAATCATTTTAGCAATATATTTGTTTTATAATAAACTTGGAAATGTTATTATTAAAATAAGACATCATAATTTGAGTCTCTTAAAACCCATAGAATTATTCTATGATTATTCTATGTATCTCTCTTCGTAAATAAGAAATAATATAATTCGTGAGTCGGTGGCTCAGTTGGTAGCGTCACGGACTTTGGGCCCAAGGCAGTGATGTCGTGGGTTTGGATTCTGGTCACTGCCACAAACATTTTATCAGTACAGTTAATCTTTGTACTGTGTACCAGCTCGCCCCTTGCTTTGCTGGATATGTTCCACACACAGATCTGTAGTCTATATGGACGGGCAAATGCAAGGTTAAAAGAGGCCGCCAACCTTTTCTCTGGTTGTAGTCAAGTTTAACACATTCGCTGCTGAAACCTTTAAACAGGCGCTCGCCAATGGCGGCGAGGCCCGGGCGGAGCCCCGACGCGCTAACTGAATCAGCGATCGCTATTGGTATTGAAATATCTCAGTAAGACGAATCACAAAAGAGCAGTGGTGATTGTTCTGCGTTACTCCGAAAGTGAACGTAGTTCACTGAAACACCCAAAGGTAGCAGCACTGCCTGGATCAATAACCAGAGTCTTTGTAATACGGCTCGAACTGAGTAAATCCCCGAAAATGGGACAAAAGCATTGCCAGACGGGATTTTATGGGCAATTTTTGTACCAACCTACACCAGAATAAAGCTCGCATTATAAGCTACAGGCTGGTAAAGATCGCAACGTTCCCCGACAATGGCTGAGCTCACATTGAAACAATAAACATGACATGGCGCGCTCCCCCACCCGTGGACCCCCCGCTCCTCAGCTGAGACGCGCGGGGTCCACCGGTGGACCCGCCGCATCGAATGTGTTAAACCCAGATTCACATTTACAATAATAATATCTTAGTTTAAACTAGGTTCCGGTTTAACTCCAGGTGAATCCGCTTAACTGGCATTCTATGGGTAAATGAAAACACAAGTAATCTGATTTAAAATATATATTTCTTTATGATAAATAGACTTCAATATTTACAGTGACTTAAGAGAAATATTTTACAGCTTTTCAATATGAACAATGAACATTATCAATTGTGAAAACTTAAAATATACAACTGACTGGCAGTTCCTAGTCAGAAAATGCAACCTTCAATGTGATGTAGTTGAAACAAATTCTTTCCGGGCGAGTAGCATAATATACTATAAAAGTGATCTACTGATTTGCTCTAGTGAGACTGTCATTAATTGCAATGAACAAAACATTCAGTTGTGCAGAAACAATCAAAATTTGCAAATACGAGGGATGAAAATATGGGATACACCATAGAAGCTGCGTGAATGCACAAATTTAAAGTAAATCATATCCTTATTATAGACATCATAACCATTCTACCGCATTTGGACGTTGGGTATTGTACCACATTGAGCCGGGGGCCAAAACCGACTCTCTTGAAATGCAAAGTGTTTTAGCCATAAGCAGCTTCTTACAATATTAACACTACAACTGGAATAATTTAAGCAGCTTCTTACAATATTAACACTACAAATGGAATAATTTATCAGTATTAAATGCATTCATTTTATAAACTTCAAATAGGAATGTCTGTTTTGCAAGTTCTTTCTTTACTGTAACTAAGGGGTTAGGCCTGTACATTATTTGTTTTGCTTCAGTTTCTTACAGTTAGTTTAGTGATTTCTTGTGAAAGGATCAATGATTTCTGATTTCTCATGGAAGTAATTTGATGTAGCTTAAGTTCTTGTGACTTGAATACAGTTTTATTATCCTTATCATTACTCTACGATCTACATACTTCAGAGTGTGTCCTGTGTTTTTGTTAATGCTAATGTGTCAAACTGCCTTCTAGATTACATCTAAAAATATGATTGTGATAGGGACCCTGATTTCTTCAGTAACTCAATATCACCCAAAACATAATTATTAATTGATGATAAGAAAATACCGATTACTTTATATTTTTCAATTATTGAAGTAGCTTGCTTTCAACCAATTCCTTTTAAATAGTTGAATAGTTTTTTGTTGATAAAGTGATTTTAATCACATTATGTAGATACATCTTAAATTAAAAGTATTTTCAATACTTAAAATAATTTAAATTTATTTAATTAAATACAATACTATATTATTATTTTAAATAACCAATACATATTAATCCTGCTGGACAAGTCAATTTAAAAATAATTGCAGGGTGGCCACCAAACTTGCTTAAATAAAACTCATAGTAAAATTATGGATGACCTCTGGGTCGTACGAGTAAACTAATGAAGTTAACAGTAGCCTCTCAAAACAATTAAGTTTTAAGAATTAACATCAGCTTCGCTAATGAAACCTCATGGTGGAGTTCGTAGAGGGATTAAAATTAAATATAAAATATATAGAACAATTAACAAACGAGACTAGTTATATTTAATATACTAGTCAACCAGACGCCGAATGGGCACGACACCCGGCACCGATGGAAGGTAAGTCACGTCCGTAATGTGGCGGCAGTATCCTACCATGTGCTATCCTTTTCTTGTCTGTTCAGATGTGATCTGAATGGCAGTGTATGTAATAATGTAGATTCAAACTTAAAGATGTACTCCATTTTTAACAGCAAAAAACAGCTGTAGTTAATTGTTGCAATAGTTTTGAGAGACAACAGGTAACGATAAACTTTCATAATCTAAGGTTTTTCAGTCTTTTATAAACTATATAGAATATACACAGCTTCCAGCTAAAGAGTGTTTGCAAATTTGGAATGATTTATTGGTCATCTTTAATGGAGAACAAATTACCTTAGGCAAAAGTCCACAGCATTTATGCCACAATGACAATAAATTGTTTGCAATGGCAACTCTACGGTCAGGCAATTATTAAAACCTTTCTAGAATCATGGCAATGGTTATTGCTTTGTTCCTGGTATGTCGTCTTGCAATCACTACATTGGCATGAGTGCCAACGACATTTATTGTGATGACGTCACTCGACCTGCCAGCAATCGCTACAGCACTTAGCGACACAGAAAACCGTAACAGAAGCCCCAATGAAACAGGTTGAATTTCATTCATATTTAATGATAGGGAATATCCATGTGTAATCTTTTTTTTACCAATGATTGATGGCAACCCTGAATTACATTACAACAAGCTTATATACTTTTACATTATATTCAATACTATGCATCATATCCTAAAAACTACAACTACAATAAACATGGTGATAAAAACATGTACAAGTTACAGCTCTAGCTTTTTTACACATTCTTCTGTCCTTGAACTGTAAAGGTCCAGAATCCTCTGGGTAATACACTTTGATATCAAAACACTTAAAATCCTCTTGCCGGAATGTTTCATGTGAAGTCCGTGTCCTGTGAAGTGGTGTCTTTGCATTGCGTTTATCATTGGTAGAAAGATCACATTCGGAAACAAACTGCACAATTGTGCCACCATTATGTTGGTTTTTACAATTTCTCTGTTTTTCTCAATAATGTCAAATCGCAGAGGAGTTTCGCACACTATGATGTTTGTGTTGAGAAGGGCAGAGAACAGAGTCTGATAAAGGTCGTGCAGCTTTTTCTGATGATTGTCTGATGTATCGTTAGAACCGCCGACAATTACTATAAAATCAGCCATTGTTAGAGTCAAAAAGTCATTTATTTGAGATATCGCTGTTTCCACAACTTCGTTCAGGGGCCAACCGGGGAAACAGGTGGATCTTACATTGAATTTTCCTTTAAGTGAAGCATTTAGATGCGCCGCTTGGTCTCGTGCGTGACTATCTCCAAATATGTATACTGTGTGTTCAAACTTCGGCCTACTCTTCCCTTGCGCTCCCACTTCCTGCGAACAGGAAGTTTTGGTCAGTAATTCGTTGATTAATACTTCTACTGCCATCAAATCACTACCACACATGTACACTAGCATTGTGTTCTTTGCCTTCTTGTTTTAATTTTTCCATGGTGAACTTTATACATGCAAACGTTAATGTAACTTAGTGTCCATCTTCACAAATTAAACGGGTAAGTGAATATCCAATCCCTATAGACCAAATAAAAGCACTAACAGAAAAGAATAGCTACACCGGTATCCAAGCAAGAAACATCTATTTAAAGCATCTAGTTGATGGTTTTTCGTTAATTTCTTTAAATACAATTTAATGTACAGTAAATAGGTTTGTAAATGATGGCAAGTATTTTCTATCGATGAAGTAGGGAATATTCTTGTTATTCTTCATACAGTTTGAGGGTTGAGATGAGAATTCACAACTGTCAGTTATCTAGAGTGACTTCATTGCAGATATGACGAAGAAATCTTTATATCAGAAGCACAGTGATAGTAGACATACTCTGCTGATTCTTATAATGTATTAGTTGATTTTCGTAACTAATTATACATGTGAAATTCAATTTTGAGTTTAAAGCCAAACACAAAAGAGGTAGCAGCAAACTACAACTGTTTCAATACTAAATCATGCAATTATAAATCAATATTGAGTAAATAATGAATTGGATTTCTTCTTTCTGTAAAAATATTTTCTATTAAATCTTAATTGAAAGATAGCGGTGAAAACAAATTGCTCTTTGGATAGGAACAATAAATAAGTCAATATATCAAGGGATATATAATTAATGATTGTATAATTTAGATTTGTTCTCAAGTATTCATCACAGTTTAAAGTTCCGTGTAGAGCTACTGCAGGTTCATATTCTTGTTGAAGATACAGTTCAGCAAAATACTATTCAATGTAGGCTACTGAAGACGTTTCACACATTATATTGAAATGCTGTCGAGCAGTCCTGCAGAGTAAGTTTCATATTCAGTGTGAAGATACAGCAAAGTTTCATATGGCCTACAATACACCACAGTACAGTACAGTATATTGAAATACTGCTGAGCTAATTCAAAATTTTACCTACTGGTACTGCCCCTCGTATCTTGGTGTTTGAGTAATTGTTGTGGTCGTTTTCTATCACGATTAGAAAAAAAACAAGTTTTTGGGTCGTGAATAAACTTCAAAACTAGTATCTTGGTTCCTAGTTACATTTTCAAGATCTGCAGAGAAAGATTTCAATTTTCTGTGTTGAGATACTACACAGGTAGATCCGAATTTCCAAGTGCACTGAAGCCTTAAGTTCCATAAGTTTTGTAGAGGTACAATGAGATATGACTCAATTTCTGGCACTCATAAGTGTGTGTGCACCCTTGCTCACCACCAACTCCAAGTGCGTAGTGCCTCACCCCCACATCCAGTACATAGAGTAAATATAGTGTAAGAAATTCTCCAAGAACAAAGGCTACAAAACAAGTAACTTAAAAATATAATGAATAAAGAAAAGTAGTTCCTTTTTATTATAAAAAAATGTATTCTCTAAAAGTATCTTAAAAAACAACACAGAACACACACACACACACAAAATGCAAAACAAACAGAAAAGATCACTGTTAAAACCAAAATTGAACTAAATAGGTGAACAATGAATTATAGGTACATAAAAACTTTAAGATAACAGAAACACATCCATGCGAAAATGACAAGAGAACAATTAATTGTGGCGTGTAACAGGAAGCGAATCATAAGCTTGAGCCCAGTTGGATAAACAGAAGCGGTGACCCAGCCGTGGACTAGAGAGAATCTACTGTACTCTCCAAAAATGTATCAAGGGAGCAATGAATGATGATGATTTACACTTCAGGAGGGTTTTATTAAATTATAACATCAAACTGTAAGTTGTGTTTGTACACTTACTTTGGAAAGGCTTGACTGGACGGAGTCTTCTGATGCACCCATCGCTACATTGATGTTTGTATTGGTTTCCTCATCTACCAGCACAACCTGAGAACAGAAGACAATTCATTACAATCTCTACATGAATCAAGAAGTGAGCATTGAGGTAATCCCACAAACAATAGATTCCACTATGTAATTAAGTTAAAAATATCTTTTTTAGAAAAGAGGATGTATTGGCTGCTGATTTATTGGATTTGTCATATGTTATTGTTATTGTTCTTATTTTAGAGTTCTTCCTTGATAGGCTCCCATGGTCACTTATTGTAGAATCACCATCACATCACTCGCCAACGTTTCGGCCTCGGTGTAGAGTGCCATCCGTGTGATTTTGGTTGTCACGAGAAGACTATAATTCTTTTTTTACATTTGTTTTGAGATATTCTAGGGACTATTAGAGGTTATTGTACATTTTAAATATTCAGCCCTGCTCCATCATGTTTGAAGCATGTAAGTGTATAGAAAATACAAAGATTAAATACAGTGTTTACTAGTTTTCTTTTAAAAAAATCTATAGACCTATGATTGAAACAATTATGTTTGGTAACAGCGAAATTTCTCAAATTTGAGAAACCACAACATGTTAACCTTAATGCCTGTGCAGTTTTTTTCTTTTTCAAAATGTATAGCTCAATACTATGAGAGTCGTCTGCTGAGTGGTCAACATTGTTGATGTGTAAATTTTGATGTCTTTAATTTCAGTAATTTGATGGTTATTATAAGTTCTGTGACTAAAGTAATAGCTTAAACTATAGGTAAAGTATTACTTAATAAGTGGAAGCATAAGACTTTTAATGGATAATTAAAACTGAGTTAAAATGTAATTACGAAAATACTCACATTAATTCTGAGCAAAAAGCACATGTTTTTAACAATAACTGAAAATTCTTCTTGTGGAAAGCTGGAAGACCATATAATGCACTCTTTATAAAGCTGATTAATTGTTATCAATTGTTAACACTTGGTCATTGGGCTATTGCAATATTTTACAAAACTAAAATAAATAATACACTCAAGAAACAGGAAGTAACCTACACTTGACTCATGCAACAGGTTTCTGCTGATGCAACAGGTTTCTGTTGATGACGTCTGGACCTCCACTCCCCCTGCCCATCACTAACTTTTAGACAGCTTATCACTTGGAACTGACCCTTGGATACAGTATCTCCAGCTGTGTTTACATTGCCAATAGAACTCTTTAAATCATTGTTGCAAATTATCTGGAATTAGCTGTCACCTTTTTCAAGCCTATTTTGTTTTTCTCAAGCTTTATTGCTGTTGAATATTGACACCTTATATTCTATAATTTTATTTTTTTTGAACAATAACATAATGTGCAATGATTTAAAATAATTAAGGAAAACTGCATAAGTTTTAATTGAGGTTTAAATTATCTCAGCAATAACTGCACTGCAATAACTGCAACTACACTGCATAACTTGCTTTAAGAGCTACTTTACTGGATGGATAGTAAATAATTTTCTGCTGATGTGAATTAATGTTCTTATCAATGTGACAAATATTTAACGATTATTCAATTATTTTATTATAACAGTTCTATAACTCAGTAAATAATCAAATAGTATATTTAATACCAATTTAAAAGTATAATGTACAAACACCCTTGTGGAAGGTGTGGCGTTGGTGTGAGAAATAAAGCAGTGTGCTGTAATGGACCTTGTAAACTATGGTTTCATACATGCTGTGTCAAAATGAGTAATTCTGACTACAAAAAAATCTACAAGGGTGAAATATTGGATTGGAAGTGTAATAGTTGTAACTTAGAATGTGCCAAGAAAAGTACTGACAAACAAATTGGTGATTTAAAGGAGAAACTAAATAACTTTAAAGAAGAAGAGGATATGGAGACATCACTAAGTCTAGCAGCAAAAGCAGGGAATATATTGTTAGCTGAAAATGACATTCTAAAACAAACTATTCATGATTTAAGGAATTCAAAAAGCCAGCGTGAATGGGAGCTTGAAGACAAGATAAATAAACTACAACAAGAAATGTTGAGCTTAACTGAACAGAATAATATTAAGGAAATTGAAGTGACAAAGCTCATAAGTTCTATTGAAAGCAAGATGCAGAAAGACAACAGTTTTAAAGACAACCTAATACTTCAACTAGAAAAAGATAAATTGGAAGGATTGTCTAAGATTGACCTATTAACTAAGGACAAATTGGCTCTTGAGAATGATGTCAAGATGCTTAAAAGAAAACTAAATGATCTAGAATCGACCATAGAAGACTATAACGGAACCTACAGTAGAGTAAATGCAGGTGACAGAACCGACATAACAGCTTTGTGGTATATGTTGGGAGATGAAGAGATAAAGTCATGGTTTGACAGTCAACCTCACCCAGGGAATGTTTTTCTTCTACCGCCGTCTGTTAGTCAACTTATGAAGGTGGAGGATGACTCAATTACAATTCACCAAGTTTGCAGCAATCTTAACCTAGACAATTATGACTACATCATATCAGTGGTAAACAATGATGGGAAACAACACAGTGGAGGTAGTCACTGGTCACTTCTGGTGTACTGCAGTTCTACAGCCAATTTTTACCACTATGATTCTGTGACTGGTGTCAACCATAATCATGCTATCCAACTCGCCTCCAAGCTTTCCCAGGGCCTCAAACTGCTCGACAATTGTCACGTTATAGAAGCGAAGTGTCTACAACAGAAGGGAGGTGTCGAGTGTGGTGTTTTTGTTATCCATAACACTGAGATTGTGTGCAATATGGTTGAAAATAAGTTGTTTAAATTTAATCACAGAATGTTTAATGAAGATTTTTCCGTTAATTCATACTACAACACTATAAAAGCTTTGTCGAGGCAACAAAAGCAACACTCTACTGAGAATAACTTACCAACGAGTACTAATGATGCACATAGAACATTAAATAGCAATTTTTGTACATCCAAAAATGTAGATCAGTGGAGGGAAGTACCAAGGAAAAACAAAGTAAATACAAATGCAAAACAAACCAACAATACTGCCACACAGGATAAACCTTTTACAACATCAAATATGTTTGATTTGCTAAGCAGTAAAGAATGTAGTTCTATGCCGGTTTCCAAACAAACAGGAGAGGATAAAATGAGTTCTACACCATCTTCATGTGTGAGACATGCTAAGGATGCAAAAGACAAAAAAACTGACAAAAGCACCAAAGTAAGTAAAACTAAGCAACAGAAGAATTCTTCATTAAAACATGTTGTACAGAACATTGCGAATGCCGAAGAAGTAAGGGTTTCTATATATGCTGACAGTCATGGGAAGAACCTACATCAAATTCTTATAAATAGTTTACCATCAAACAACAACGTACATGTTACCACATCCCCAGGGGCGCCGCTTGGATATGTGTTAAAAAATACTGAAAAGCATGTTAAAACTTTGAAGAATAAAGATGTGCTTATCATTATTGCAGGCTCAAATAGTGTAGAACAAATGCTGAATGAAAATGTCGACCCAGCTGAAAGGATGCCAAGTGTTTTTCAAGAATATACGACTTTAAATGACCACACCAACATTGCAATAGTTCCTCTGTTCCCCAGGTTTGACCTTCCGCCTCAACATATAATAAACAAGTCAGTTCGAAGAGTAAATTTCAATCTGAGTACCAAAGAAGTTAACTTAGTAAATTGCAAAAGGTTTAAAAGGTTCCACTTTACCCAGCACGGTCAACACCTCAATAAACAAGGCAAACAAGTTCTCTGTGAAGAAATTCATAAAACAATTAAAAACATTCAGGAGACCCATCCTTGTCATGCTAAACAGTCCCCAAAAGAAATTAAGGTTATTGAGGCAAATATGAAACAAGTTTTTGATGATTTTAGCCACTGTGAAGAAATAGGTTTTTCCCACTGTATATCAGGAGATCTAGATTGTAACCGAAGCATGACTGCAGGAGTGGCAGTGAAATTTAAGGAAAGATTTGGAAAGCCATCCTACAAAGACTATTGTAGTAAACGTCTGACATTTCAAAAGCCAAACAAAGGACCCTCGGTGTACAGTCTAGTTACTAAGCCTTTTTATAATTGTAAACCTACAAAGGAAGAATACAATGCTGCATTTGAAGAACTTGCAGAGGATTTTAGCAAGAGATCACTAAAAAGACTGATATGTTCCCCCATGGGCTGTGTGAGAGACAAAATATCCCTAGATCTCTTTGCTTTAAATATAGTTAAATTTCAGAAGAAAACTAAAGCTTTTGTCACAATAGTTGCCTACTATCAACAATCACGAAGAACTCTTTTTAATGGACTTTCTTACAGTAGTTTTCTACAGGATTTGAGAGCTGCAATAGCTAAAGAATATGAAAAGCAAACAAGTATGACTTTGACAACTTCATCCAGCATGCAAAATATAAATACCTCAGCCTCACCTCCACCAGCCAAAGCCATGCTAAGCACAGCCACCTCAACCCCCATGTCATCCTCAACTACATTAACCACTACCACTACTCCACCAGCTGCAAGTTTGTTGGTAGAGATGCTTAATAGTGACACAACACTACAAGAGCTGCATAGAGAGAGCCAGTCCAATGGTGTGACCATCACAGACACAGCGCAAAAAGAGATGTTTCAGCCTCAACCAACAACCACATCCACCAAGAGTGTGAGTGTGAGTGCCGTGTCGTCAAGTGAGTGTGAAAGTCACAGTGAAAGTAGTTTTTTAAAATTAAGCCACAATGTAACAATAGCAGATTAAGTCCAGATTTAAATACTAGGTATAAACATAAAATAAAATTACCAGGTCTCCTTCATCTGAACATACAGGGGGTAAAAAATAAGTTTGAAGAGTTAGAAATATTCTTAAATACATGCAATTTTGAAATTAAAATTATCTGTTTAAATGAACACAATGTGAGCTCAGAAAATTCAAATTTTCTGAACAGATTGAATGGTTTTAAACTAGCTGATGGGTATTTTCGCAGTAAATCTAGAGGAGGCTCATGTATTCTTGTTGATAGGAATTTGGATTGTTGTAAGCGCAATGATTTGGCCTGTTTGAATGAAGAATTAATTTTTG